CAGTGAAGTCTCAGAGCAAACTGTGATGGTGGGTTTTAATGTCAACTTGTCACAGATTTGAGTCATGTGGGTAGGGAAATTGTTCTGACCACCTTAACTGATGTGGGCAGATGCACTCCTCCAAATGTGGACAGGTGTACTCCAAATGTGGACAGGTGCGCCCCAAATGTGGACAGACTCTCTGGTAGCAGTCCAGATAAAAAGGCCTGTGGCTCACTTGGCCGTCTTTCCTCCACTGAGTAGATTTGCCCCGTTGTTGCTGCTGAGTCCTTCACTGATTTTGGTCCTAGGGTCCATCACTGACTAAGGGGCAGTGGCAGGAACCCTTCAGGGTTGTGGCCCCAGATTGGGACTGCTGAGGCGCCTGACCTTGTGGACCAAGTGCCAACCCTGATGAGAGAGAGCCACTGTGGGGCTCCTCCATCTGCTGAGGCTCCAGCCTCAAGGGCTGGTCACCTACCAGGTTTTCAGCCTCTCAAGAGTGACAAAACTTGTTACTGTTTTACAAATTCTTTATGTATACATATCACACACACACACACACACACACACACACACACACACACACACACACACACACACACTTTATTGGTTCTGTTTCAGAGAACCCCAAGGCACAAACATTGTTTCGAGTGGAGCACTGGGGCTCAGTCTGAGGAGCTTCTCTGCTATGCCTGGACCCCAGGGACTGCCAGACTTAAAGCAGGCACTTTGGATGGACTCTCTGAACCATAATGTTCTTGAGGTCACTTCTCTGATAACATTCAGTGGAGAGATGGTATCACTTGTGTCCATCCAGACCCATGGTCCAGGCTGCCTGTCTCACACTTACACAAATTTCCAACTCAATAGTTGTCCCCCCCCCCCCCGCACTCACACACAGCAGCAGATAGGAGAACATCTTCAGAGGAACAATACTGCCCTATTTAGGAGTGCTCCCCAGCCTCCCCATACACTAAGACATTCCTTCTCTTAAGCAGCAAAAGTTGGGAGGAAAAACTTGCCAATCTTCATATTAAAAGAAACGAATGTGTTAAGGCCATGGTTTTAAGAGGCATTTCTTCGCTGTGTCCCTATTTATAGCTCTGTAATAGCTGAGAAGGCAATTAGCTCCATTCTAGCTCTTCACAGTGTAACAGGCTTCCCTAATCACTTTCTCATTATCACCGCTTTGCTTTATCCCCACTAAGTGTGAGTTCTGGGAGGTCCCCCTGGCTGGTGGCAGCTGGGAGTCCTCTATTTCACACCACTTAATTATTCCCGACAAGGTGATAATTTCTTATCAGGTACGCCACATAGAGGATAAAAGCCAATGGTTTCTCATAAAATAAAAGTACTTGAAATAAAATTATAAATTTACACGACAATTTGAGAACTAGCTGTGTTTAGAGATTAAAATTTATCTTTTAAAAAATAGGCATTACACTATTCAGCTGATGTCCTAGGGTCTTTTATGTTTCTAGATCTATCTCATTCTATTGTTGGCATGCATTTGAAAGCTAAGTCTCGGAGGACCGCTACCACAGCTAACATTTCAGAAACCCGGAGTGGCTTGGTGACGAAGGATGTCAATATTCACAATGACAGATGTACCGGGCACCAGACAGGGCCCGAGTGCACAGGGCCTCTCTCTACTCTGCAGCTGCATCTATGGAGGTTCGTCTGTAGGTTCCGGTCGGGGGTGTAGGGGAGGCAACATGGTCACTAGATTGGCAGAAGAGAAAGCTGGAAGTGTGATGGTTGGGTTGGGACAAAACAAGGGAGTCTGACTTTCTAAGAACACAGCGCAGACCGTTTTGCCCTTCAGTTTAATAACTCTACAACTGTTGCGCATACCCACTGAACTATCAGTTTCACTTGTAAAATAATAGCAAACTACTGAGAGTTATTTGAGAAAGGAAGAGCATGTGTGTATGCACATGGAAGGATACAATGTGTACAAAATCAGAGGGGACTAGGCATGCATATTGTGATTATTTCACCCTTAAAGGAAGTACCAGTGTGCTATAATGTAGACTAGGCATTCATTGAAAGATGGTTCATGAAATATGAGAGGGGACGTGTATATAGCTCTGTGATATTTGAATTTTTAGGACTAAATTTCTAATAAAAATGCAGTATGTTTAACCTAAAACACCATCACAAGCGGAAAAGAGCAAGAGCACCATTCTTCCCAAGGCCTGTTTTCCAGGCCGACTGTTGGTTAGTGTCAGGTAACTTAGATTCAGGTGAGTTTTTACCATTTCCCGATATGACTGGCTCACTATTTCCAAGTTGACTGTGCAAACAATATCATCCATTGGTGAGTATCTGCTTTTCTCCTGGGAGTCTGGAAGATTAGTTCATGCTAGACGGAGGATGCCTGTGTAAATATCCATTGGCAAATGTTCTGGTAAATGAAGTATCGTTGCTCTTGCTTCTCTGGAGGAACTCCACACAGCTTGTGTGAGTTCACCGGGAGAGGAGTTTTGGAAGCTTGCACCTGCTCTCTCCCAGATGCTCCCCAACACACCTGCTCTTTGCTGAGTTTGTCTTGTGTTCAAACACTTCAATAATTGTTGCCCTATGTACAACCGCATCCAATTTCTGCAGGTCTTCCTAGCAAACTGCTGACACTCAGGCCCCCATTACACTCTCTTCTAGAGAACTTTCTTCTTGACCTTCACACTCCTCCCTCACAACCACACATACCTTTCTGCATCTTGTGTGTATGTACTAACTACATTTTCCCACTGGACTAAGAACCCAGAGATTGTCTAGATATGTCTATATATGTCTCTTTCTATATACATAACTATTCAATGAAGCTATTAAATAAAATTAAGTGGCAAAAACTGCTCAGCTAATACGAATACTTGCCTTGCCAGACACTTTTTCTTCTCAGCAATAGTCACTTTTAGGTTATGATATCCCCAAGTTCCTCAAACTAAGACACTCAAAATCAAAACAGTAGCAGAACTAATCTGTACTAAGTCATCACTTATGTTCCCCCAAAGGAGGATCGTCCATAAAGATGACAGAGGCTCCCATGCCTGCAGGCCACCTCTCAGAATCCCAGGCAACATGGGGTAGGAGTGGTACACAAACCATTCTCTTCAGTTGTGACTAGAGGATACTTTCCTACACCCCATCCCCATTCTCGTCAAAAATGGAGAAACTCCTGCTAACTACCATGGACTAGAGATCTAGGACATTAACCTGGTATCAAACTCCAAAACCCCATGTACATTTACACAAACCGATGGTCTCTGCGGTTTGTTCCCTGACGTGGATATTCTGAGATGAGAACAATGGCTGCTGCTGACTCAAACCCTCTCTAAATCCCATCTTAGGCCCCTGATGGAGAAGGGCTCACTTGGCTTTAAGCAGCTGGGTTAGTGCTGCTGGCTGTACTTTCTCCATTCTATCATTTCTCTTTATTGCATCCACAATTCTAAAGCTTATCACAAAGAGAAATCCCTCTGTCACCTCTCCAGTGTTATCAGGGCCCTGCAGTGAGCTTGGTACCATATGGCTGCGGAGAAAGACTCCTAAATCCTGCAGAGTCGTCCTGGGTCCTACTGAAAGGCTACATCATCTACAGCTGGCAGCACCATCTACGTCAGCTGCTAGAAAACAGGTGCACTGGCCTCTCCTGGCTGAGGCACCTCCAGACTTCTTTTCCCTTCACGTTATCTCAGCCTCTCCTGGCTGCAGACTCTCCCTGAGTCTCAGTTCCCTTCAGATTTCCTGTGCAGATCTTTGTCAGCTCATCCAGGGACAATGAGAATGTAGCTTTGCTCATCTCTGGATGCAAACAGTGGCTCAGGGTAATGACTCACAGGCCAACATTTAAATGTGTGTAGTGATGAGGGCAGACGAACACACTATCTGCATTTCTTTGCTAAGCTCATGAGAAAGAAGCAGATGGGATTTTGGAGATAATAAACGTTCCAAAGTAGATTTAAATGCCCTTGACATCTCATATTTTGTTACTGTGATGGCTATTCTTGGCTGTCAACTTGACTACATCTGCAATTAACTAAACTCAAGCATCTAGCACACCCGTGAGGGATTTTCATGACTGGATCATTTGACATGGGAAGATCCACCTTAAATCTGGGCCACACCTTCTGGTGGCAGCCTCTATAAAGGGCATGGCAGAAGGAAGCTCTTGCTCTTTGCCTGCTTGCCCTCACTGTTGATGGAAAGTCCATTCCTTCATTAGTATTAGAACCTACTTCTTTGGGATTCTGACATATACTGAAGACCAGCTGAGACATCTAGCATCATGGACCGAACAACTGTTGGGTGCTTGGACTTTCTCTTGGGAGACAGCATTGTCAGGACAGTCATGTAAGCCATGCTAATATCATAGATATCCATTCTATCAGTCCTGTTTTCCTTGGGAATCCTGACTGATACAATGACATTCAGATTGTGCCCTTCAGAAGTCACCAACACTAGGCTTGGAGGGGTTCAGATCAGCTTATGTATGCAAGCAGGGCAAGGAAGACAAGTGACTTGAACCTTCACCCCAACTTACTCCTATGCCTCCCCCTGGTTGTCATCTGTCTGACACCCCCCCCCATGTGCTTTATCTGGGGTGTTTTTCCTAGTTTTCTCTCTTGGAATAAAGAGATACCTTCTTCTTGCTTTCTCCCCTCCACCAGATGTAACCAACAAGCTCCGCATTGCTACTTTCCCATAGTCCACAGTGGGGCTCACAATAGCAAACCCCATCCCCGGTTTGTTGGTTTACATATTCTTTTCCTTCAGTCTTTAACCCCAGCTAGAACTTGCTATGTAGGTCAGGCTGGCCTTGAACTTGCAGGAATCCTCTTGCCTCTACCTCCAGAGTGCTAGAATAACAGGCATACATATCACACCCAGTTCCCATATATCTATTTTTTTATGGTGCTGGGGATTGAACCCAGGGCCCTGGACAAGTATTCTAACGTGACTTAGCAGGCATTCCCCCTTGGAGTCTCTCTGCCAACCCCATTCCCAGTGTTCTTTACCTTGCTGGCCTTCAGGATGTTGATCTGTTCTTCATATACCGTATCCCTATTTTTCTCCAGAAAACCATCTGAAAGGTACTCCACCTGAGGCCATGGCAATGAAAGGAAAAACAGTCAGTGTTTCCGGAGCCGTGGCAGCTTCTTAAGTAATTCCAGCTCATCTAGTAACATTTTCTAAGAGAACTAAGAGTAGATGGAGATCCACAGACGCCCCCGCTGAAAATGCAAATCTGTTATGTCGAGATTTACACAGAGGCAACTGAGTACTCATTTGGCAGGAGATAACACTGTCTTAAAAGGGAATTCCCATGAGAGAAAGCTTCTTTAGGGCTCCATGAACGCATCTTCTCTGCCAGTGGCCCAGACGCACTGAACCAGGATATGCAATTACATGCACATTACCACCTAAGAATTCGGTCAAAATCCATCTAGAGAAGTTCCACGTCTCTACCCATCACTGGGATCGCTGCTGCTACTCCAGAAGGAATCCAGACAGTGTGAGTACCTTGGCTTTACTCCTCCCTCTTCTCAGGCTCAATGACTCCTAAGTGCTCCACTGCTGCTGGCTTCCCAGGAGAGCAGCCCTCAATTACTGCCTGCTGTTCATGCTCAGCTTGTGCCCGGTATACGAGAGTTGGGGCCAGGGCAGGGTGGGGAAGAAAGCACAGAGGAGAACCTACCGGCAACCCCAGGCCACTGGAACTCACAAAGACCACTTCCTATGCCTGGAAACCCTTTATTTCTCCCTACTGTGGGCCTAAGGGGTCCCAGGTCAAGAGAGGACAGATACCTTGTCTGCAAAGTGGACGACAATGAAGGCTGTGTTGGACATGCGTGGTTTCTGGAAGTGCTGGCTGTTGGAGTGTCGTTCGTAGAGCTTCTGGGCCCAGTTCTGATCAGTTCCTTTGGGGACCTGGAGAACCACAAGACCGGGTACAGTGCTTCATGAAGCAGGACAAGGCCGTGGAGCATCATGGCCGAGGGTTGGGGTCTGGATTCAGCTCTCAAGCCGGGGCACTGACTATGATATAAGATCGACTCAACCCTGAACTCTTGGGATCGTGCTATGAAAGGTCATTGACCTGCTGTGTGTAAGCTGGCATCCATGGGAGGCTGTTGAGCCTCAGAGAACAAGCTAGGCAACAGAAAAGGGAAGTCCAAGGAGAGGATGAAGATGGACACTGAGGCCATGGGGGCAGGATCCCATTTGTGGAGCTGTCTGAAGATGCTCTTCCCTGTAGTCTCAGCACACCCATTCCCTTCAGCATCACGGTCCTGCTCACTCAGAAGATGGGCATAATTAGCCAGCACCCCTCCCCTAGCTCATCCATACTCCTGCCCTGGCTTAGCCTGTTGACCTTTCTTCTGAAGCCTTTTCTGGCCATTTTTTTGGTTTCGTGTCTGTCTTGTGTGGAATTCCTAACAATTGAACTTACACACATAGGCATACTATGATAGCTCACCATTAGCTTCTGGATACTGTTAGCACATACTATAAATCCATAGAGTCCGAGGGCTGTCTTAGATCTTTTCCCACACATCAAAGGACTGTGAATTGGTTTCTGGTCACACACTGCATGATGCTTTTCTTACTCCCTGTCCCCCAAATGTAGATCTAGATTTGGTGGCGTCCCTATGTGAGAAATTCCCAGGGACAGCTTCTCTCCACATCTCTACAGATGGCTTCCAGAGTAAATAAGCAACTTGCTTCACTGAAGCTTTAACACAGACTGCCGATGGTGCTCTGAGATTAGTTCTGCTCACAGCCGTCATCAGAGAAGTTTCTTTTTGCAGTCGGTGGTGGTTTCTGGAGTCACATCTGGTCAGAATGCTGGAGAGTAAGTGACAGGGCAGTGCTCAGCCCTAAGTGGGACATCTGTATCACACCCACTCCACGGGGGTGGAGGCGGGAGTGTGCACACTCAGGAAACGGCCTGGAGGATGAGTGGAGATAACAGAAATGGCAGAACTCTGGGAGGTGTGCCATGAAACGGGGACTGGCAGGACATGGGCACTGCAGTCATGAACTCACGGAAGCTGCAGTTACCTGCACAAGACTGGGCCCATTGGCATGTATGGGGGAGGGACTCACAAGACTCCGCCCCTCACTGTCAGTCTACAGGCCGTTCATGGGTGCTCGGGTGGAGGGAGTCATTTTCTTCAGTGGTGAAGCCACTGATAAACTGCCCAGGTTCCAGTCAACTAGCACTCTTCCCCCCTCCACACACACACACACTTACACTTGTACAAGCAGCACCGGGTTCACTGGGTTTAAAAAAAAACAAAAACAAAAACAAAGGCACTGAAGTAAGAGGGACCTGTTGGAAGAAGAAGAGTTTGGGAGAGAGAGAGCGGGAATGAGAGGATAATAATGGGGTAGGAAAAAAATACAACACTGTGCCTGCTGCTCAATGGTCAGTGATGGCAGGGGCTTATCCAATGAGATATCACTTGCTCTGTTACCCTTGACACCCACTGACCGTCCTGAGTTACAGGTCCTCACTGACTCTCCTCCATGAGTTCCTGTCATACTTTCTGATAAGGCGAGATTGGCACTGACCCGTGCAGTGACCATTTAAAAAAGGACTTTACTCGGTAAATAAGATGTTCCGAACGGAAAATGCTTACACATGTGGAAACAAACTTCCTAAGTCCTTTGTAAGCACACTGATTTTTCTCCAGATTCAATTTGGTATAACTAGTACTGAATCCCCTGTGCCACGTGCCATAGGAAATTCAAAGGGAGGAGAAACCTCTTTCCCGAAGGAGGCTATTAATTGTATTGGGCGGACAATAAAATACATTTAATTCAGCACTTTCTATATATACTCTTTTATATTTGTCTCCAAGAGTTCTGTTTTAGAACTACCAGGTGTGGATGAAGGAGGAGTCAGCATATAGTGAGGCTTGTCTGAACCAGGCAGGCCGGCCGGCACCTGGGAGCAAAAAGGACCTCAAGGGAAGGGCCCAACTGGGTCAGACAGACCCACAGACAGAAGCTCCACTAAGCAAATGCTGCAATCTGTTAGCAGCCCGATCACCTTGGCTTGAAAATGCACTTGGACTTCAATGGGAAAACCCTATGATCCTATATAGTCACTAATTTAGATGGGCATGAACAGTCAGAGGAGACCAGGGATCAAGGTCACATGTATACTATTTTATGACTAAGATCCACTTCTCCCCAATCACTTCCAACTAAGATCAGCCAGCAGGGATTCCCAGTTTAGATTCTCATCACAGCAACAGCCAATGTCCGCAGTGCTTATTATTAGGTATAGTTAAAACACATTTCACTGTATCAACTCACTTATCTCCATATCACTCTATGAGCTAGGTATAGTGTTTATACACACCCCAGAGATGAGGACATTGAGACAAAAAGGTTAGATGACTTGTGCAAAACTTGGCCTGGGGTCCAAGTCAGACAAGGCTGGCTCTAGGATATGTGTCCTTCAGTACTCTACTGTCTGGCCTGGCAACAGTGTCTAAGGCAACTATGAATGCAGGCTCAGGTGAAAAACCACATCTCCAAAAATATTTTCACACAAATAAAATTTATTCAGCCACGGGAGAAAGGAAATCCTGCATTTGAACACAGCCTGGATCACGGCCATCTTTAGCGCTAGAATGTACAGGGGAACCAATCCTTGAAAAGGAATTCACACATGGCTGCATGCAGGGTTCCTTACACTCCTTCTGAAGCATCATGGAGAACCCCGGACCAAGAGCCTGGTTCCAGCTCCATTTCTCAGAAGCCTGAACCCTCTGGCCTGTGGTGCTGGCCGACACTTATTGGGAACTCAGAATTTATCCAGAATAGGAAACTCTATGGAGATGGGCGAGGTAACGGGCAGGGGTGCTGATGCGTTCAGTGCAGGGCAGTGAAGGTGTTTGTTTGGACAAGGACAGGGGACGTGATGGTCGGCAAAGCTGAATGCCCTGAAAGCCAGTGAGCTGGAGGCTTCTGATGCTCACACTGTGAGTGTTGCATCTCAATGAAGCTCTTAAAAGCGCTTTCCTCTTTGCTATTAAGATAAAGTAGCGATTTGTTTTTCAAGGAGGCAGTGTTGGGGAACAGAACCATTTTTCTAATGTCCTTGAATAAGGATTATTTCACCACAGACATCGCCCCTGCTTGGGACATCACCTGGGGCCAAAGCCTGCCCCCAACAGAACAGCAGCCCGAAGTGACAGCTAAGGCCCCTTGACCATTGATTTACCCCTGCTTTTGTCCTGTCCCCCTGGGCCACTGCTGCAGCGATGGCTTTCTGGGTCACTGATATGCTGTCTGGCTCCACCCTATGCCTCTTGGGCCCTCCCACATGTTCCCCATAACCTCTCAAGTCACCCTGCACCAAAACCTCCCCAGGCCCCTCTGGCTTAAAGAAGTATTATTACCACCACTACCTCCTCCTTTCTTTTCTCTTTTTTTTTCTGGGATTAAAGGAGTGGGTCCCTATACCCAGCCCTGTAGAATACTTCTGTCCCCTCACTGTCACAGAACCCAGCTGGGCCCAGGACTCTGTGGTCCCGTAGTTCTCTAGGGAGGTGGCTGCTTCTTCCACACCCGACTACATTGCAGCGCTATTTGGGCCTTAACTCCGCCCCCCTCAGCAAACATCCACGTAATCGTGGCAGAACTAGCCATGCCCCCTCCCCTCTTCCCCTCACCCAGGGATGTCAGAAGTCTTGCATCAGCTCATCCTCACTTCACCAGGCCCTGCCTGCCTTGTCATTCAGAGGGACAGTGCCACTGCCAAAGGCAGACCAGGTTTCGCGCCGAGAATCCCTTCTGTGGGCTGGGATTCTGCTCAGAGCTCTAAGCAGAGTGCTGACCGGGCGGCTCCTCCATTCCTTTATGGTCCTTGACCTCAGCAAACACACCTGTACTTCAGTTACCGTCCTTCCTAGTCATAGAAACTACTCCCACCCCCACCCTCTACCAGCTTGTGACTCACTGCAGAGGCCTGCTCGTCTCCTTCACAGAAAATCCAGGTTGCCAGGCAGGAAATTAAAAACTAAGAAGATGTAGCTAGTTCACCGGAAAAGAGCTGGCCTTGCACAGGGGTCTGATGGGCAATTTCAAGGGTGTGATGTGCACACACACACACACACACACACACACACACACACACACACACACACAGACACGCAGACACGCAGACACGCACGCACGCACACATGCACGCACCCAGTCTTAAAAAGATAAAATGGAATTCCTGCTTGAATATTCAGAAATTTCTCTGCACCTACTCACCCTCCGCCCTAGGAAGGAGATCTTCCCCTAGGAAGCCTCTGGCACTGCCTGGCATCTTGGCAGTCTAAGTCCCCACTAGCCTGGCAAGTGGGTGATTAGGGCTCTCAGCAAACCTTCCCTTGGAAGGGGCGGGAGGCCTCATGCAGAGATGGCAGCCTTACGACTTAGAATCTGTCTGAAGCACCTCTGTCCCTGGCGGGGCTCAGCTGTGTCTCCAGTGCCTCAGCTTATGTCCCTCTCTGCCTGCTGTGGGACATAAGCCCCCTCTGCACCCCTCTCTGCACCCCCTCTGCACCGCCCCCCCTGCCGCTGCCAACACTGCGCTGTTGCTCCTGAGGCCTTTGCTCTGAAAATGCAGCACCAGGTCCGTGTACACCACATTCTGTGTCTCACAGAGTGTGGCAGACAGGAGGAGGCTGAAACGGTTTTTTGTTTTGTTTTGTTTTTCTTTTTCTTTTTTTTTTAATATATATTTTATTTTACAATACCATTCAGTTCTACATATCAGCCATGGGTTCCCCTATTCTCCCCCCTCCCACCCCCTCCCCTTACCCCCAGCCTACCCTCCATTTCCACCTCTTCCAGGACAAGTCCTCCCCCGAGGACTG